GGGGGACTTGTGGGTGGTGCTGGGGGACTTGCAGGTATGCTGGAGCCACTGCATGGGGTGCCTGGGGGCTTTGCTGGGGATACTGGGGGGCTTGCAGGGGTGCTGGAGCCATTGCATGACTATTAGGGGGGTTGCAGGGGGTGCTGGAGCCGGTGCTGGGGCCCTGCTCCCTCTTGCTGGTGCTGGAGGGATTGCAGAGGTGCTGGAGATGCCCAGTCCTGGGCCTGGGGTCCCAGTGGGTGGGGAGCTGGATGCTGAAGGGATGGGTGGGGGGCTGAGTGTGGGGCAGGGGGAGGTTGGAGCTGGCAGTGGGGTGAGATTGGTGGGAGCACCCTGGGGTGTGTCCTGCAATGGCTTTTGGGGAGTCCCAGGCCACACTGCAACCAGCACCCCCTCCCCATCTCCTTGGCACCAGCCACCTCCACGTCACCCTGTGCCCATGGGCCCTGAGCCCATGCCAAGGGCCAGGGCTGCCCCCAGCCCCCCCGTGGCCCCACCGAGGTTGGTGCCAGCAATCCCAGGGCTTGACACCCTCTACAATTAGGGACCCCAGGGTTCCTGCACCCATCCAGACCCTGCGGGGGCCACCCCAGGGCTCCGGCCCCGAGGCGCAGGTGGGACGTGACCCGGTGCCGGTTTCAGCCTGGCCATACTTAGCCTCTGCCCTTTCCCAGCTGTAACACAACCTCGTCAGCGACCACAGGCTCGTTTGGCCACAGGATGCCCCAATCCCAGCCACCCCGTCCAGCCGGTTTGGGGTGACGTGCTGTGGCCAAGCAGGTTGGGTGTTGTGGGACAGGGTGTGGGCAAACAAGGTGGCCAAACCCCCCCACACTCCTCCTCCCAAGGTGGGTGCAACGGGGTGCTGCAAGCCCCCCCCTCCACCTTTCCTTAGGGCACCCAAAATAAAACCAGCCCGCGGGGAGCTGGGGGGATGTCACCTCCATCGCTTGGTGTCCCGGTGACACCGGTCAACCCCAGGTGGTTTCCGGATGCCGGGCGGCACCCCGGGGCCACGGGGATGTGGTCAGGCAAGGGGAGGAAGCCGGTAACGTCACCGCACGTCACCCGGCATGGGGAAGCCCTCACCACAGCCGGATGGGGCGGGTGGCTGCCAGGAGCCAGGTAGGTGATGGCCATGGGAGCTGACATTCCCAGCTCTATATTTTAGGGCCAAGCTGGGGGTCGGGTCTTCCGCCACGCCAACGGCGTGGCGGAAGACCCGACCCCCAGCTTGGCCCTAAAATATAGAGCTGGGAATGTCAGCTCCCATGGCCATCACCTACCTGGCTCCTGGCAGCCACCCGCCCCATCCGGCTGTGGTGAGGGCTTCCCCATGCCGGGTGACGTGCGGTGACGTTACCGGCTTCCTCCCCTTGCCTGACCACATCCCCGTGGCCCCGGGGTGCCGCCCGGCATCCGGAAACCACCTGGGGTTGACCGGTGTCACCGGGACACCAAGCGATGGAGGTGACATCCCCCCAGCTCCCCGCGGGCTGGTTTTATTTTGGGTGCCCTAAGGAAAGGTGGAGGGGGGGGCTTGCAGCACCCCGTTGCACCCACCTTGGGAGGAGGAGTGTGGGGGGGTTTGGCCACCTTGTTTGCCCACACCCTGTCCCACAACACCCAACCTGCTTGGCCACAGCACGTCACCCCAAACCGGCTGGACGGGGTGGCTGGGATTGGGGCATCCTGTGGCCAAACGAGCCTGTGGTCGCTGACGAGGTTGTGTTACAGCTGGGAAAGGGCAGAGGCTAAGTATGGCCAGGCTGAAACCGGCACCGGGTCACGTCCCACCTGCGCCTCGGGGCCGGAGCCCTGGGGTGGCCCCCGCAGGGTCTGGATGGGTGCAGGAACCCTGGGGTCCCTAATTGTAGAGGGTGTCAAGCCCTGGGATTGCTGGCACCAACATTTTTCTGTCCCCCCTGCACCCATCCCCTCCATCCCGCCAATTCCTGTCCCCCCACCCTCTGTCTCCCTTACATACATCCCATCCTTCCCCTCGTCCCCTTTCCATCCCTTCCCTTATGTCCTCCCCGTGACTCCCTCCCCTCTGTCCGTCCCCCACGTCCCTCCAGCCCCCCCAGCCACAACGTGCTCCACGTCCCCTTGGTCCCTGCCAGCCCCTTGGCTCTGTCCCCAGCCCAGGGGATCGCTGGGTGCCGGAGGAGTTGTAATTCCAGCCAGCTGTAATCAGGAGATGGGAAAGTGGCCTCGGAGTGGCTTGGCTTTATTTTTAGCTCTGTCTCCCCCCCCACCAGCATCACACCCCAGCATTGCCCCACGCCATGGTTGGGCCAGGTCCTGGCTGGTGGTGAGGGACCCTGCGCTGGGTGCTCGGCAGGGGACAGGGCGCTTAGTGCCACCTGCACGTTGGCCACCAAGCCCAGGGACCGATGCTGTGGTTCAGGGACTGCCAGGGGCTGTGCCAGGCTCTCAAGGTGGCCACGCCACCAAGCCAAGGCTGCCACAGCCCCTGTTAGCCCACCGGGGTGAGGAGCTGGCCACGGGGATGGCTGTGGCCGCGGTGGAGCCGTGGACAGTGGCCGTTTCCTGGACACCGCACGGCAGTGGGATTCCAGCCCTGTGGCCACGGTGCCGTGGAGTCTTTGTGCCCAGCCATGTCCTGCCCGGCCGTCCCAACCTGCCCAGGTGACAAGGACAAGGGGGACACGGGGCTTCTTCCCACTTTGCCTTTACCCCCTGGGAGCCTGGGGTGGGTCCCCCTCCATCCCTGGGGACACCTGCCCTGGACACCTCGCTCCCCAACATGCTTTCTGGCTTTCTATAATTATTATTTCCTTTCTCTCCCCCAGAAAAACTCAAGAACCACAAAATCATCTTCGTGGTGGGTAAGTTGGTGTCTGGATCCTGCTGCTGATGGGGTCAAGGACACAGCACAGCCCTGTCCCCCTGTGCCTTCAGGGTTGGGGGGCAACTGGTGCCCAGGGCTGGGGAGCTGGGGCTGGACATTGAGGCTGTGGGACCTCAGCTGTGCCCAGGGCTGTGGTGGCCGTGGCTCCAGCCCAGCTCCTCAAGGCCATGATGGGGTGCTCTGGGACCTGGAGGG